TGTGTGTGTGCATGTGGTGGCTGTCGAGGACACATTGGGGAGGGCCTGCAGGGCTATTCTCACCGAAGTCCTCGGAAACGGTGAAGCAACGGGCTATCTCATTACAGAAGGCAGAGAACTGAGTGACTTGAGGAGAGCCGGCCGTATTCCCACTAAGCAGGCTTCCTAAGGAGAGGGGCGGTGAGGAGTCAGGGACGGGGACAGGACTACAGCAGGAGACGCTAATGGGAAGGAAGGTGGTGGCCCCGGGACTTCCCAGAGTGTGTGCCCAGCCGGCCCTGCTCCAACGCCCCTTTCACTCTGTTCCAGGTCCGGTCTGTACAAGCCGGTAAAGGTGTGACCTCAGCAACCGTTCTGTAAGGCTCGCTCTACCGCCACCCCCTCCAGGAAGCCCTCCACAGCCTGAAGTTAGAGTCTCCTCTGAACTCGGATTATCCCATTAAATGCTGCCTTGCGAAGGATTCTGAGGCTTAGACCAAGAGGTCAGTGGTCAGGGAAGCAAAGGACACAACGGACGGCCACAGGGCAATCGTGAGCCAGAGGATGAGGAAGCAGGGGTGTGAGCTGGGAAAGCAGAGATCCCAGCTGCGCAGACACCAGAACAGCCCTGCCTAGTAGGGAGTGGACTCCAGGGAGCCTCAGAGCCGGAGCAGAAGAGCCATGTGCAAGGCGGGCTGTAGAGACCCTCCCGGCCCTGAGCTCCAGATGAATCTTCATTCATTTTTTTTTTCTTTTTAAAAAAAGATTTATTTATTTTTAGTTTTATTTATTTATTATCATCATTCTTCCATTTTGACCAGAGAGAGACAGACAGAGAGAAAGGGAGAGTAAGAAAGCAAACCACCAGATTTGGGACTCAAACTGTGGTCGGCCATGTGGGAGTCCAGTGCCTCAACCACCATGCCACCTGCCGGCCTCGAATCTTCATTCTTTCACTGGGTCTTGGTTGGTAAGTGGCTGTCTGCCTGTGTCAGGCCTCTCTGCATCAGCTTTCTGATCCTCAACTGAGGTTCCTTGAAGTCAGGAACCATGAGCACATCTCAACCCCACACTGCCAGGGCCTTCAGGGGTGGGGCCAAAGGAACGAGTCTCTGAAAACTCCCCGTTCTCTTCCTCCTCAATTGTGGTCACCTACTTTCTGGCTCTCTGGGCCACACCTCACAACCATGGCTCCCACGTCTGCAATATTTACAGGTCACGACTGGAGAATCAGAAAGGAGAGCTCCCGCTCCTGCTTTCTGGAGGCAGACACTATCAGTTTAATTTCCCGCACCCTGCCACATTTTACAGAAAGGTCTCTTCCAGCCTTTGTCATGTGCCCAAAGCTTGCGTGGAATCTGTTTTCTTTGTAATGCTGAGGGGAGAGAGAGAGAAAGTGAGAGAGACAGAAAGCACCCCTCAACAGGGCCTGATCATGCCGTGGTCTTTTTCATCCAGTTCTCTATCCTGTCAGGATTCTGGGCACGCATATGCATGCTCAGTGTTTTTCCAAGCCACCAGGGCCAGAGCTCGCATCCTGGTCAGATGTGTGGAATCCACCTTCCTCAGCGCAGCATTTCCCTGCTATGCTATCGGGCTGCCCCCATGTTGAATCTTGAAGGGCCTTTGATCTTACGAGACTGCCGTTCTGTCGTCCTGTCCGACAGTCCTCAGAAGCATCTCGCCTAGCACAGAGAGGGTACAGACTGCCACCCTCAAACCGAGTAGACATGATAAAGCCTGTCTTTGGTAATGTGTTAATTTCAAGTGACTCCACGACCTTGGCCCTGATATTCAGCAAGACCAAGGGGAACTCAGTACCTCAGAGAGGAAAAGATTCTGCTACGCTGACCACGAGTGCTTGGAAAGAAAATACCTCTAAGCGCAAAGGCCTCCTGACTAGACAGAACGACTGAGCAAGGCTCAGTACCAGCCCCGCTCCCTCGGACAGTGTCGGTCTTCTGAGCCCTCATACATAACGGCACTTACCTAACCAACACTCGGCTCTTCAAGACTCTGCTCTTTAGTTACTTCCCACTGTAAATCTCGTCTTGTCCACTGGAGGCAGCACCTGGCCCCCTTCCTAGCTCCTCATTTCTCCCCAAGCTCAGTGCAGGGAGTTTGGAGTGGCTACTTAGTACTCGGGAGATGGAATCTTGTGCATTTAAAATCTACTCCACCTTTTTATCCCAAAAGGATTTCAGGAGGCATAAAAGATATATGATACAATCCAATGAAAATACCACCCTGAGGGGAAAACAAGGAAGAGAAAATGATGCCAGGGTCAATGTCATGCACAGACATGATCATTTTGTAAACTTGCTAAAAGTGGTTACAAATCTGGCTGTTTTCTAGGTACTAAAGGGAAGAAAGAATTGTAGCCTAGAACCAGATTCCAAGTATACAAAAGATAAACAAACAAACAAACAAACAAACAAAAAACCGGGCTGGCGGGTGGCATGGCGGTAAAGGTGCTGAATTCCCACATGGCCAACCAAAGTTCAAGTCCCACACCTGGTGGCTTGCTTTCTCACTTTCTCACTCTCTGGTCAAATTAAAATGAAAACAAACAACAAATAAAGATAAATAAATAAATAACTCTTTTTTGGAGAGATTTTCACTATAGGGCGTGTGCGCTCGCCAGACAGACAGAGAGAGACATAGAGACAGAAAGCGAGAAATCACCCCCCAGGGGGGATAGTCATGCCGCAATCCCTTCTCCATTCTCCTCTCGGGATCTTGGGCACGCATGCACACGCGCCCGGCGTGAGTTTTAAGCCACTGGGTCCGGGACTTGAACTGCAGTCGACTACATGGGAGCCCAGCGACATAGCCATTATGCTAACTGCTGGTCCCTATTTTTCTTTCTTTTAAGAATTATTAAATAATTAAAATTATTTTATTTTATTTGTTATTATTTTTCAATTTGATCAGAGAGAGAGAATGGGAAAGTGTGAAAGCAAGCCACTAGGTCCAGGATTCAAACTGTGGTTGGCCACGTGAGAGTCTAGCGCCCTTAACCGCCATACCACCTGCTGGCCCTGGGTTATTTTTCTATGAAGGATATTGAGTCTTTGCCACACAAATTGCTGGTTTCCTTTGTTTAAGTTTTTTCACCCATAAAATTTACCCTTTCTATGTTGTGAAATCAAATGTTTCCTTTCCTTTTTCTGAGTTAGTCCGTATTTGTTACATGCCTACTCCATGCTCCACATTGAAACTTGCTCATTTTAGATAAGAGGGAGGTTAAAAGGGATCCCTCACTATCACCACGGCCAGCTTTTATTCCATGACATCCCAAGGGCCTTTCCCAGTAACACTCACCATAGGGCCTGTGCACGTGCTGCTCCCTCTCTATCTACCTAATTCCTACTTGGTTTCCGAATCTCAGTTTCAGCACATGTTCCTTGCCATCTCTGATACCCCAGTTAGACCACATCTGCCTCTCACAGGACCGTCCCCACCACCCTCGCCCTGTCCAGAAGCATGGGTGCTATCTGTCAGCACTCAGTTAGGACTGATTACAGCAGGTCTCCGCTCTAGAACTATAAACTCCACAACGACAAGAATTTTAATTGTTTTCACTCGAGACTGAGTTTCTCTGATGCCTGGAAGAAGAAATGCAGTTAGCGTAATGGTTAGGTCGCTGGACTCCCACGTAGTCGACAGCAGTTCAAGTCCTGGACCTGGTGGCATAAACTCACACTGGGCGGGTGTGCATGCGTGCCCAAGATCCCAAGAGGAGAACGGAGGAGAAGGGATTGCGTCATAGCCATCCCCCCTGGGGATGAGAAACCTCTCAGAAAAATAAATAAATAAATAAATAAATAAATAAATAAAGCCATGTACTTGCTCTAAATGATAAAGAAAAAAGATTAAAGAGCCTGATAAGTTCCTGCAGAGGCTATGGAATTAGCAGGTACATCTTAATTTGTCCTTTTTTCACTTTCTATGACATAAAGTGTACTGAGAACTCCTCCTTTTCTTTTGGACAGGTTTTGCTATAGGGTGCCTATGTTCACCAGAAAGAGAGAGAGAGACAGAAAGCGAGAAACCAACCCCCAGGGGGATGGCCAAGCTGCAGTCCCCTCTCCTCCATTCTCCTCTCGAGATCTTGGGCACACATGCACATGCGTCCCGCGTGAGTTTAAGCTGCCATGTCTGGGACTCGAACTGTGGTCAACTACATGGGAGTCCAGCAACATAGCCATTATGCCAACTGTTGGTCCCTGAAAACTCAAATATTATTATAGCTTTATCTGTCTAGGGTTGACCACGATCTGGTCCTACTGATAAAAGGGAATAAACTGACTCAGAGTGTTCAGTAAGTGCTTCACCACAGAAAACCTGGCTGGGTGAAGGTTGGGAAGGAGCTATTTACATAACAAATAATAAAAATATAGTTCGTCCCACTAATAATTTCTGAAAAACACCATAAGCGGCACCCCAAGTCCGCAGATATTTTTCTCATCTCATCGGAAGGGTAACACCCATGCTGTCCTCACGGTGACGATCCAGGAGCCAGGAGCAGGAGGGTATAAACATTACCTTCTCATGCTCCCAGTACTTATTTGTAGCAGCAATTTCTCATTTCCATTTTGCTGATGAGGAAACCGAGGCTCAGAGATTCAGTGACAGAACCAAACATCAATGTCTCTCAGGTCCATCTGGTAGGAAAAACCCTTGGGCCAGGGCTTGAGCCAAGTCACAGGGAACAGGTGCTCTACTGCCCAGCCGCATCAGACTCCACCTAGCCAGCTGGTGAGAAGTCGCTCGCTCTTACCAGGACAAGAATTTCCTCTGAACAGCTCTAATGAGGTATAATTTAGATACCATAAAATTCACACCAAGTGCTTTTTAAGACGCTGAGATATACGACAGGAGCATGAGCACTCATGTTAGTGATGTTCTTTTCCTTCTAAAAGGAAAGCCCGAGATGTGGTGAGCCCAGACGAGCAGACTTCTGAGCAGCCCCACGATGCCCACATGGATGTCCACGTGGCTGGGGCGGTCACGCCTACCTTGGATTCCATAGAGCCGGTTGAGGCGCGACCGCCGGGCCTCGTCGGTGTAGGGGACAGCCAGCCAGGGCATCTCACTGAAGTACTGTTTGAACGACTCCTCTGACCTACAGACACACACATGGAGAAGAGGGCTCTGTCACGGCCGACCACACCACCACTGGGCCTCCCTACCTTTTACCAAGGGCTTCTACAGAGGCTGGGGTTCCTAACTGCAGTGATTCTCAAAATTTAGGCAAGGGGAATGTGTTACTGTACCCATTCTGCTGTTCACGAAGAAGCAAATACCTCTGTTCAACAGGTGGATCCCAAACTATTAGGTCGCTGGGAAAGTCATGATTTTATTTTATTTTTTTAAAGATTTTTGCTATAGGGCATGCGGTCACCAGAGAGACAGAAAGTTAGAAATCACCCCCTAGGGGGAATGGCCATGCTGCAATCCCTTCTCCTCCATTCTCCTCTTGGGATTTTGGGCATGCATGTACATGTGCCCAGTGTGAGTTTTAAGCCACAGGGTCTGGGACTTGAACCACGGCTGACTACATGGGAGTCCAGGCAAGGTAACCATTATGCCATCTGCTGGTCCCCATGATACATTTTTCTACGCAAAAACGCGTCATGACTTTCCTGATGAACCAATACAATGCCAAGACATTTCCACAGCCCACTCACCCACTTCCTATCATTAAATTCATGCCCAACTTCTCATTTTTCAACACAACCAGGCCTTACTGTCTTTAGGGAGCTTAGATTAGATCACCATCATATTCTCTGTGATGCTCCTGTGTGTGCATGGAACAGTCTCTTGGGTAGGGCCACACATTTCAATAAGCACATACCTATAGTTCCATGCCCAAGAAACTCTGGGGAAGACCAATGTAATTAAGTGACAGAAGGCACATTCGGGGTTCCCTGGGACTGGGATTTGGGGGTGCAGACAGACAAAAAGGGGCACAAAGGAGCTTTCTGACTGATGAAAATGTACCATCTCTCAACTGTGATGACGAAGGCTATGGGGGTACATACATTAATAAAAATTCAGTGAGCTGGGTACCTGAAACGCATGCACTTTGGGGTATGTCAATTATATTTCAAAACAGTCGACACTGCTTAAAGCTTTAAAGAAGTGACTGCTCCACCTGGCATGCCTGCAAGCTCGCCCTCATTCGCACTTGCTGAAGCGGGAGCTGAGGCATGGGAGGTGTGGGTGGGGACCATGAGACCCAAGCCAGAACACTGCAGATGTGCAGGCTGCCCCAGTGCACGGAACACTCTCCAAGATGCCGGCACCGTGAGAGTGCTTGTGAACAGGAACTTATGAGGCAGCAGGGTCTGGTGACTCTGTCGAAGGTGGGGATGGAGTTCGAGATGAAGGAAGCTCAGTCAAAACCAGAGATGACAAGAAGTGGAGAAA